GGTTTTCCAAAGCTTGGTCTTTTGCTGTGACCATGCTTGGTTGTTTTCCCACGAAATGACACTATAACATGTAGTTATACCTGGATACGCTGTGGGCCCATACTGCGTCATGGATGCAAACATCACATGACGAAAACAGCAAACGTGGATATGTGTATGCAGCTACAAATCCATTTTATATTCCTTCATGTGGGAGGAAATATTCTAGAATTTGGTCATTTGTAAATATCTTTATATGTGCAAATATAAATATGTGTATATATATATGTGATATATATATATAAATATGATAAATATATATATGATATGATAGATTATATATATGCTAGAAATTTATATGATATATATATATATATATTATATACATATAATCGTTTCACGTATTTATATCCATATCTAAAACTATTTAAATATATCGTATACATGCATGTGTGTATATATGTGTATTTATGCAAATAAATAAAACCATATGTGTATATATACATATATGATTTGGAAATGTCTTCACACGTGTGCCTCTCACAGTCCCTCACAGTTCGGCACAAAATGTTGAACGTTTGTTCTTTGGTGTTTCCACAAGTGCACAAGTTCCTCTGTGATTGTTTTAAAAACGGTGTGGTGCATCCAACCTCTCAAGGTCCCTCAAGGTTCAAGTTGAACAACGGTTCCAAAACAAAATGGCTTGCAATAAGAAGCTCTCCTCACAGCTTGCCACAACCCTTGAGTGTTTCTTCAACTTTCTATAACCGGTGAACTGGTCAGTGGAATTCTTTAGCAGCTTAGCACAATCGCACAGCCACCCGAGAAACCCACGCTATTTTTTCAAAGTGTCAATTCGCGAAAATGCAGGTGCAGGCCCAAACGGTAGTGGCGGGCAAGCTTTGAGGTTTGTTTGTCAATTTTGACACCACGTACACAAGCTTTAGCGACCTGCTGCATGCGCTGCATCATGTCCTCACCCATAAAGCACCAGACCACTTTAGGGTTCATACACCGGCTCAACAAAGCCAGCTCTTGGAGCATGTGTGACTTGCTTGTGATATCGAACACTTTCATCCCTTCTTCGACAAAATGGTCTGCGACCTGGGTCAGAAGCTGTAACATGGAGCTCGTGGTCTCTTCAAATTCCTGCGCTGCACCTGCAGGAAATGCGAAGTCCTCTTTGTGAAAGGTAATCATGTCCTCAAGGTGAACATTTTGCTTCAACATCAAAGCAATTCGTTTGTGCAGCACCAAGTGGGGACTGCTGAACTCACGCCACAAAGCCAATAGAGCCTTCCCAAAATGCCGAATTTCAGATGCCTTTCCACGTAGTTTTGGATACTTGCCAGTCCTAAGGAACATTGTCAATTTTGTCAAATATCGGAAGGGTGTCGGCGTCCGATGTGTTCTAAAGTAATTTTTCAGAAACGTCCAGCAAACTTGGAGGTTTTCACTGTCATCTCCAGGCATCACCATTGTGACTAATACCATGAGAACGGAGCCAAAAATGTATTGGCCAACCCCCAGGTACTTGACATGTACCCAGTCGTAGGCTACTGTCCAGCAGCTAGCGCCTGGCAGACTTAGCAAAACGCATTGAGTTCGAGATGGTGAAGCGTGCCACGCAGAAGCATCCCATCGCGTTGACCGCCACAAAGCAGTTTCAGAAAAATTCGTCCATGTGAGATCGCCCGTGCCTGTGCATTTGCAATGCATGCAGGGGCCAGATTTGAGTGAGTAGTTCGGTGCACCAAGCATTGCCACGAAGTAATCCAGATCTCCCGTGAGTGCCCACAACACACCCTTCCATCCAGAAGCTAGCCATGTGCCTCCCCTCTGGGCTTCCAATGACCCTTCTGTGTACCTTGCAAGCTTATGATGATGCCATGCATTCATATGATCTGGTCTCAATTGAATTTTTATCCGGTATCAACTGCAGTTTTTTCTGGGTTTGCCAGCAAAAAATGTGTAAATAATCACATGGAACATGGATGAAAAAAGTTTATCACCACATGCAATCTAAACATCTAAACTTGCAAATGGTTCCGTCAAAACTCACAGACAGCTGTTTGATTAAAAGCAAGTTGCTTCTCACCTCGGTGGTTTTCTGATGGCCACTTCCCAGAAGCCAGGGCTGCAAAACTCCATTTAAGCACTGTGTAAAATTCGAACAATGTACCGTTTGTTTGATCACCAACTTTCAACTTGTCGAAGAATCCCCAGATCCATAGGAGCATTGAACCTGTGTTTCCATGCCCTAGAAGGCTATAGAAACTGTAGTTTGTCATGACCCGGCTCCACACCTTCCCTATCCCCGTCACGGGGACACCATCGCCGTGCACAGCAAACGGGATAGTAGTTGTGTCCCAATCTGAATGGGCTGTCATGGGGTGCCCATCCAGTTGAGGATGCTGCCGCATTGCCCGCCAAAACTTTCGCACACGTTCCACACTTGGAACTATTGCTGTGTTCCAGACCTGTTTGTAACTTTCCCAAATGCATGCAAACATCTCATGGGGAAGGAGCATGTGTTGAACGGAATCCGGAAAACCTTTCAACGGCACCTTTGCAGCATAAGGCTTTGGGAGTTGCGGTACGTGTTCGACCTTGTTCATCAGTTCAGAATGAATATTGTTCGGATATTTTCCTTTGGCCCCAAGATTGGCCAGCGTGTAGAGATCTTTTAAAACCCTTGGGTCGTCTTTGGACCTTTCTATGTCTTTGACAGCCTGCTCAGCAATCTGCTGCACCCTTTGTGGTGAGAAAAATCCCCACGCAAACAGATTCAAAAGCAGCAAAGCTAATGCAGAGGTTTCACAAGCCTGGCCATCATATTCATATTCATCTCCTTCTTCTCTTGCGCGTTTCAACCTTTGCCGTTGGCCTCGAGGTCTCTTTCGCCAGGGTTCAGAAACCATGGCTATAAATGGAAAAATGCATCCAAGTTGGAGTCACATGCAAACATCATAAGTTTCTAGAGGTTGATCACATCACATGTGCGCTTTCCACTTTCACAAGCCTTGATTCAAACTTGGCTTTCAACAATCAGCTGAGAGTTGGGAAAAAACCTTGAGAGATACCATGAGGGAACTGGATGACTTTGGTGGAAAGAACGGCTGCCTATTTTGGAACAATGGGCTACCAGCAAAATTATTTTACCACACGAATTTTACACCCTGTGAACATGGACACAACATTGACATACCTTCCTGGTAGTGGGGTCCCCAAATTCAGGCAAGGTCTAAGTTTGGAAAACATTGTCTTAATTATCACTTTGAGGTTGAATTCAGCTACGTAATGAGCAGCAATGGCAAAGGTGATTTGATTCACCACACATATTCCAATCTTGTTTGAGACTTTGTTTGAGGTGCCAACTACACGTGAAAAGTCTGAAGATTTAATGTTATTCATGTCCTTTTTGAAGCCTTAGGTACAAAAAACCCATTTAAAAAGGGAACGCTCGACCGGATGGTTCAAAATCAGCCTCAGCCTTCATGATGCAGTACAAAGCGATCAAGAAAATTCGACATGTAATCAGTGCAGGCCACAATGAACATGTTTGGGATTGTCAGCTTCAAGAAACCAATTCTGGACAACTAAGCTGAATATGACTGACTATCATTGTGATGTTTCTCATCATTGCCAATTGGAACGAAGCCCTTAATAGCCAAACAGTGAAAATGCACTCTGAAACCGTTGATGTAGATTATCTGCAAAACTTGATTTGCCAAACGCTCTCAACTCTTTCAACTTCTGTCAGGACAACTCAAAGTTTCTCAATGCCTCTTAGCGAAATTCCCTCTGATTCTTTCAAGGTCCCAACATAAGCCCAAAACCGACCCAAAATTCAATCTCAACGGAACCATGCTTCCGTTGGGGTTGAAATTTTAGGCCCGAAAGCCACCAACAGAGCCCAACATAGCCTCCAAATGGCCCAACATAAGCCCAAAACCGACCCAAAATTCAATCTCAACGGAACCATGCTTCCGTTGGGGTTGAAATTTTAGGCCCGAAAGCCGCCAACAGAGCCCAACATAGCCCTAAAAGGGCGCAACAGAAGCCCAACATAGCCTCCAAATGGCCCAACATAAGCCCAAAACTGACCCAAAATTTAACCTCAACCGAAAATGTTTCAGTTGGGGTTAAATTTTAGGCCCGAAAGCCGCCAACAGAGCCCAACATAGACCTAAAAGGGCCCAACAGAAGCCCAACATAGCCTCCAAATGGCCCAACATAAGCCCAAAACCGACCCAAAATTCAACCTCAACGGAACCATGCTTCCGTTGGGGTTGAAATTTTAAGCTCGAAAGCCGCTACTCTCTCTCTCTCTCTCTAAATCTCTCAAAGTCTCTCAAGGTAAAACTCTCTCTCTCTCTCTCTTTCTGGGTCTCTCAAGGTCTCTTCTCAAGGTCTCTCATGGTAACCCCCTCTGAGTCTCTCAAGGTCTCTCAGGGCAGCTCTCTAAGTCTCTCAAAGTTTTTGAGGGTACCTCTCTCTGATTCTCTCAAGGTCTCTCAGGGCAAAGCTCTCTCCATAAAAGTCTCTCAGAGACTCTCAGGGTCACTCTCTCGAAAATCTCTCAAGGTCACTCAGGGTTCAACGGTTCTCAGTTAAACAGGTCTCAGTTCAAGATGGCAAATCTCAACAACAATACAAACACAACATTCCAGATATGGACAGTGAGATTACCTTGTAAAAATAATGAAATGTGTTGAATGAATGCAAGAAAGAGGGCCCCAACCTTTCTGGTGATCCCCTTTAAATTGTTTTTTTTTGGTATATACTTATTAATGTTGCTTCCTGTGGGGTCCCAACCGCTGGTAAAGCATGAATTGCCAACAACACCATGCAACCTTTTCCACCAGATCCTTTGACTTCACGCTTTGAGTTCAATAGTTCTGTGCCACAGCACTCTGCACAACCCACCACGCTTTGAAGAGAGCGCCTGTTTGGTTCGACAGGAAAATACCAAAATTTACCAAACTTGGGAAGCACTACAAGGAAAATGTATGCCCTTTTCAGGACTTCGTCTTGGCCCTGGCTTTTGCCGCCTGAATCTCACCGTTGTACTTGTCCACATCCAAGGCAATGTTGCCGATGAAGTTGTCCAAACTCACTTTGTTAATCAAAGCTTTGTCTGGCAACTCGTTGAACATCAGCAAGTTGTTCAGGTTCGTGATGTTGTTGGTGAGGATCTTGTAGCCTTCCTTCACCTCCTTCTGAAAGTCGCTGTTGCTGACAAGCTTGGAACCATCCTTCAAGAGACGCTCACAAGCCTCCTTGGCCTTTGTAGCCAGCTTCTTGATGCCATCCGGGACTTCATTCGTATCCTCCAAGGCCTTCTCTTCAGCCTGATGATAGCTGGCAAAGACATGTCCACATGTTATTATAGTATTGTTTTTTTTGCGGACTCTGGTTTATACATGGAATCTAAAACAGATGTATTGCTACAGGGTATACCAGAAATAACCTGATCATAGTGATGTAAAAACTTTGAATTCTTTTTTAGTCATGAGAGACCCTGAGAAGAGAGCAGCACCAACAGAACATGGACCTTGCAACCTTCAGCCATGAGAGAGAGAGAGGGGAGCTGCACCTACATAAAGCATGTACCTTGAAAACCTTTAGCCATGAGAGACCATGAGAGGAGCGACATTGACAGGAAATAGTAGTGGACAATGACAGGAATGAGATCTGTGGTATTAGATCATGAAATAACGGACATTTCTTCACAAGTGAATGTGGGAAGCTCATAGATGGTGCCAAAAAAGTTTGACAAACAATTGAATTGAATTCCTGGTGCTAAGATGTGTTTTTTTAAGGCATTGGGGAAATTGTGAGACCCTTGGAAACTTCCTACTACGCGCATGTGAAACCGGAACAGGAATGTCGCCATAAAATCAGAAAGTCGGTGCTGTAAAGTCTTTGGATCAAACTTTCTTTAATGCAGCATCTCACTGATTGCCTTTCTCTAACTCACAGGTGACCAATATGTTTAGTTTGAAGAACCCACCCATTGAGAGCCTTCGTCAACTGGAATTTCCACTTGAGCTTCATCATGACGTCCGCGATGATATGAGCTTGCTCTTTGGAAATCTTTTTCATACCTTCCACACGTTCCCCTTCCTCGCTGCCTCGGATCTCTGCGCTGGAAAGTTTTCTGAACTCCAGGTATTCAATCTTGGAGACGGGGTCGGTCTTTGATACCAGCTCCCCATTGTCGATGGCCTTCTTCATCAAAGTTTCGTTCCCATGAAAATGGGATGCCAGCATCAGTGTGCGTGGCAAACCTTCGGTTTTGTCCTTGGCAATCGAACGGTGGAAGATTGCCCGGTACTCTTGGAACTCCTGTCGATCCGTCATGAGTCGAAATGCGCCATCTGCACCTTTGCTGAAAAGCTGGTTGATAAGTTTGGATTGGTATGCCCGTTGACCTTCCTTGGCTTTCTTGCTCTCGACATTGAACATATGGACAATGTGTTCCGGCAGGGTACCTTGAGACATCATCTTGTGAAACTTTTGGGCTTTCTGTTTGTCCCTCGCCACCAGTTCTCCTTTGTCAGCTTCACCTTCTTCATCACCAAGCCCAGCCTGTAACTCACCAACGACATCCTTGATGCTGCCACTAGCAGGTCGCTTTTTGGCAGCAGTGCCGAACAGACATGCCGAAGCCGGACGTTTCAAAGTAGGCATGTAGTCAAGGAAGTTCAAAGTTCTAGTTCCAGGCACTGTTCAAGCTGAAAATGCTTGTCGGTGGTGAGAAAATATGTTTGCATCTTCTGCAGAGAGCAGCTTAAAATGACAATCAAAACACCAAGTCCATTGAAAAACGATGTGCATAAATCATCAAACAATCATCAAAACTGATGATGGTTTCCTTCTTTTTTTTGTGCAGAAGTGAAGCTTCCGAAAGCATGTGTCGTAGTTTGGTAGAAAGTAGGTAGTAGTTTCGACTCGTAGTTTGGTGGTACTTTGATCATACTTTGATAGTAGTTTTTCAAAACATATGGTATTTACAGTATTTGGTGATTGTAAAGTATGACCCCATCTAAAACTACGATCAAACTATGACCAAACTACGACTAGAAACTATGACCTACTTTCTACCAAAGTATGACCCTACCTGAACCACAGCTGTTTCTCTCCAATCAAAAATTTCTCAAGGTGTCTCAGAGTTCAAGCTGGTTCCAGTTTAAAAATTGTGTGTTCAACTTGAAACCTACCAGTCAATTTGTCTCTCTGCGCTCAAAGTCGGTACTTTTTTTTTCAGGTCGAGTTCAAGCTGGTTCTGTCGAATCCTTCAAAAATGCTCCCATACAAGTGGAGACTGAGCTGGAAAACAGTGAGGTTGTCCTAGCAAACCTACTTCCCACCCTTCTTGCGCAACTTGTGAAGGCGCCCGTGGCGCGCCATGCGCCTCATCTTTCTGGTGCCTGGGTTCGAGGAAGAAACATGTCCATCAGCCACAGGCATAGGTCCCGAAGACGACGAGGCACCATTGCCATCACCATTGGCCAGCATCCCCTGGATGCGTTCCATGATCTGGTAGCTGTAGGAACTCATTTTGGTGCCATGCGTGATGACATTCATATTGCCATCCAGCGTCATGAAGCCGAAGCCGCCAACCTCACTGTCAGTAGACTCATCTTCATTCTCTGGGTCAGAGTCCTTAGACTCCTTTTCACCATTGCCACCAGGCTGAGCATTGGAAGGATCGCCTTGTACATGTTGGCCAGGGTCATGGCGAGCACGGTCCATACGATCCTTTTCACCACTCCCATCAGGCTGATTGCCATGAGGCTGAGCATCCGGGGCACTATGAAGGCACTGTTGGTCAGGCTCATGGCGTGCACACTCCATAGCATCCTTTTTTCCATTGCCATCGTGCTCATCATCAAGAGGGTCACTGGCATACCACTGATCGTCATCAGATTCACCGAGGATGAGGGTCTTGGCATCCAAGTCTGACATGGCAAGGCGCTGGATTCAGGATCACAAGTAACGGTTTGAGCAGGCCTCAAAATAGAAAATCACACACAATCACAACCTTCAGAGCATGTTTGTCATCATGCAATGCATTCAAACTAATCATAAATATTATTCCTGAAGGCCCCCAGTTAAAATTGAACATGTATCCATGAGAGACTTTGAGAGGAGTGTGACAGTGACAGCAAATGGATCTGTAACCTTTCAAACAGTGAGAGTCTGAAGACCATGAGAGGAATGCCAGTGGCAGAACGTGGACCTTGAACCTGCAACCTTGGAGTGCAACTTCGCATGTTCTAGATTCTACATCAAAGTCAACATCACCAAATGTGTCATGCAGTTTCTCTCCGCTCAGGGTCTCTCAAGGTTAGATATAAGAAATGTTTGCATTTTGAATGCCAACCATAAGTTTCCAATAGTTCAGTCTACTCTTTCAATTGGCCAAGTCACCTTCACCCACAGGCGCGAAACCCCTTTTTTCTCAAGCACGCATGAAACGTAGGTTTGCTGCAACTCTTCTGCAACAACCAATTCCATCTTCATCACACCACGGGTTGTTCTTTTACTTGGTCCTCTTGTCCTTCTTTCTGCTTGATGATCTGCTTGCCTTCTGGTGTTTCGACTTTTTGGATTCTTTACCTTTTTCCTTCTTCTTGCCCTTCTGCTTTTCATCATCCTTCTCGTCCGACTTCTTCACATGTTTTTCATTCGCATTCTTTTTTCGCTTTTTACTGGCTGATCTCTCCTGTGACTTCTTCCGCTTTTGGCTGGATTTTTCTTTGGGTCCCACCTCCTGCCCTAAGTCTGTCTCACCATCCCAGCAGCTGGGGCCGTACCCATCCCACTCCTCCGCTTCAAAGAAAGCTTCCTGGAGCTGCTGGAGATAGGCTGCTCTGTCATGTTCCTCATCTGCATCACCTTCCTTTTGAACTTCGTCTTCGCGTTGCGCAGCAGGTTGTTTGCGCCAGGGAGGACTGCCCGGCCATTTGCAAGTGCTCCCACGTGATGATTCTCCTGGTGGTGCTGTAGGATGCACAGGTGCCACATGCTGTGGCGGATCCAAGGGAGGCGATGGTCTCCAAGAAGGCGTAGGATACACATAGGGAATCACATATGGCGACTGGAAGGGACAAGGCGCAGGATAGTGGCAAGGGATGGGATGCCTAGGGTGCATGTGCACTGGAGGCTGCAGCGGCAGATGCATGGGCGCATGCATTGCTGGATGCATGGGAGGATGCATCAGGGGGTGCCGTGGGGGCTGCATCGGGCGTTGCATCGGCTGCATCGGCGGATGCACAGGAGGCACAGGGGGCACAGATTGCACAAATGGCTCCACCTCATTTTCATCCTTGGACTCTTGTTTTACTGCGTCCCCACCTTCCTCCCACCACCCATCTGAATTTGGCGCTGAAGAAAAGTAGCGACTGCTGTTCCTTGGATAAGCCACATCAGCTTCCAATGGATATTTTGTCAACCCCTGTAAACTCAGCCCATTGAGTTTGAGTATGGCATCTTGGACTTGCTCCTTCGTCTCGTAGGTGAGGAAGCCATTGATTGATCGATCTGGATCAAACCTACCTCTTTTGATCAATCTCACCAGAAGCAAACCATCAGACAGGCCAGCATGTTGTAATGCATTTGATAGTCGGTCCTCAGTCACTCCCATGTAGAGGTTCTTGATGAACACGCGGTTCGGGGAATCATCAGCGGGTGACGTGGTCGACATGTTCCAGTTCAAAGTTGATAAAAGGTGAAACTCAGTTTATCTATAGTCTTCTCACTGTGATGCATACACATGAAACATGTTTTGGCTGCATGTTTTGGCTGTTTATCCATGTGAAACTGCTGCGAAACCTATCATGGGTTGCCTGGACGACGAAACAAAAACATTAAGCTTTGTTGCTGGGCATAAACCTGATTGCAAATGTCATCACTGTCTTTCTTTGCATGTTCTGTGCCCTCAAGCTGCTTAAAGACGGCCACCAGGAATAACAGAATTGTTTGCAGCTTGCCTGCTTCACAATCAACATAATAGTTTTCAACATGAATGTTATACAAAACTGCTTGCTCACCTGATGAACTCTCGCGGTTGCACTCTCAGCCCCTCCTCTCTCAAGGTTCAGAAAAAGTTCAGCTCAGAAGTTGGAGGAACTATACACAACATTCTTCAAACTGGGAATGTCCCAAAATAAAATAGGGCTTGCATGAAACTTCATTTTTTGACTGAATTAGTTATAAGATTCGGGCACCACTGCGTATTTGGAGACATTCCCAACTCAGTGTGCGGCTTAAGGCCCAGAAGTGAGCACACATCATTTTTTGGGCGCACAGTGGCCAAGTGAGCCAGTCGTCAAAATCCAGCCACACGCTCTTGTTCCAGGTCCAGGTTTTGATGATTTTTTGAACGAAATATAAATGAAAAACCAAACATCATTCATGACAACAAAGTTGATAACTTCAAACCGGTGTTTCAAACACTGTCATCTCACAACCTGCGACTAACAGCTGGTACAGCACAGAGAAGCCCTTTACCTAATCAACATCCCGAGAGTCACTCTCCTGATCATCCCTGAAGCTTTCGTTGATGCCCTCTTCGGTCTTTGTCTCATCTTTGGTCTCAACCTCGCCCTGCTTAATCTTTTTATTGGCTGTCTTCTTTTCTGTCTTCTTCTTTGCTTTTGCTTTCGAAGAGCTTGACTTTGCCTTGGCCTTGGCCTTAGCCTTCGCCAAAGGCCACGACTTGTCGAACTCTGCACCTGCCATTCTGCCTGCGACTCTTCCTACTGCCTGCGCGTCACCCTTCGACATGCCATCCTTCATGAGGATCTGCTCACACCGGTGGTATGCATTGCTAGTGGTCCTTTGCCTTCTGGTTTCACGGGGAAGTTCCTCAGGACTAAGTTCCATGGCCTTCTTCATAGCAAGCTCGACAACTTGGTTGGGGATGTGTTTCTTGAGAACCTCCTCATCCTCCTCGTCAGCCAGACTGGTTGGGGCTGCGCTTGGCCGTTTCATACAACTACGTCCTCCAAGTTCTTCATCTGCCTTCTTCTTGCTACCCTTGCTGCCTGCCTTGCTTTGTTCTTTGGCCTTTTTTGCATTCTTTTTTTTGGGACCTTTCTTTTTGGGGGGCGCGTTGGCATTCATCCTCTGGTTCTGGGATTTGTCACCTTTTGCAATGGGAGATGCTTCAGCAGCGGACTTGAGGAGCATTGTTTCCTCCTGGGACACTTCCAACGAGAACATGCTGCTCTTGTGAGGGGAATCCTGCTTCGCTGTTTCAGGGGTTTTGCCAGGTTTGAGGTATGTAATGGGAATGTTTTCACCATCACTGTCTTGTTTCAGGACGCTGTCAAAAATGCTCTCTGCGCTCTTGCTGGTAGAAGCTGCAGTTTTCATGTTGGACTGCTTGGGCGTGTTGCTGGGGCTCGGCTCTGCTTGATCTCCTTGTTCTGAAGCTTGGCTGTCACCTTGTGCCTGGAAAGCTACCAACTGTGTCTCTTGCTTTTCAACCTCCACCTTTACCAAAGCCAGGATCTCTTCCAAAGCTTCATGCTGCCTCTTGTCACACTTCCTGAGGGCTGCCTCTTTCTTCTCTGGTTGTTGTTTCAAGATACGTAAGTGGCTCAGGCCCATTCTAATGCAATCGTCAACTGCATCACAAAAGTCTTCCGTGCCCTTCTTGGTCTTGTTGATTTGCTTGGTCT